TGGGTTTCATTAGGGTATTAGCGTGCCAAACAAGATCCCTGCCTTATAGAATATGTAGAATTAAATTGTTCTAGTTGGCGCGTGAAAGACTAGAAAAGTATCACACCTCCAATTCTTCCCTCTTTTGTAGTGGACATCCAGCTTGGAGCTGCAGCAGCCCCTCCTGTTTCATCAGGTTGGTGAAATGTTTACCCTAAAGCCAGGGGGATGTACACGGTATCAAGAGGGCTTGACTGCTTTGACTTCACAAAGCGACGCTCCGTTCCTTCTAACCTTCTCATTTACAAGAACGAGCGATGCCAGAGAAAAATGAGTGTGATTTACTTATTGGAAGGCATGAGGACATGATGTCCACACAAGGAGTACCAACAGTAAATTCTTGGGGTGAATATCTTGCATCTGGGAAACTGTAAGTTAAAGTAATTCTATACTGAACTTTGAGTGGGCTATAGTAAGTACAAGACTAGAAAGTTAATCAATAACCGGAAGTAAAATACCCAAAATGAAATGAATGTGGGCTAGGAAACAGACACAAGATGGGCTAGGAAACAGACACAAGATGAAGAGCCATCCCCAGCCAGGCGCTGGGGCCCACGCCTGTAATCCCAGCACTTTGGGAGGCTGAGGTGGGTGGATCACCTGAGGTCGGGAGTTCGAGACCCACCTGACCAACATGGTGAAACCCCTTCTCTACTAAAAACACAAAAATTAGCTGGGTGTGGTGGCACATGCCTGTAATCCCAGCTACTTGGGAGGCTGAGGGAGGAGAATCACTTGAACCTGGGAGGCGGAGGTTGTAGTGAGCTGAGATGTTGCCACTACACTCCAGCCTGGACGAGTAAAACTCCAACTCAAAAAAAAAAAAGAGCCACCCCCCACCCTGGGATGATGAATCTTTGTTTGGTGTAGATCTTAAATCCTATCAGAGAGCAATTCTTAGAGTCTGCAACTCCCCCTTCCGTCCAGGTGCAGCCTTTGTAAAGGAGAACCTCCGGCAACTCCAAGTCAGGATGGGGGACCTGAAGGGGGTGCTCGATGATCTCCAAGACAGTGAGGTTCTCACTGAGAATGAGAAGGAGCTGGTGGAACAGGCAAAGACACAGCAGAGCAAGAACAGGGCTCTGCTGAGCATGGTGGAGAAGAAAGGGGACCCAGCCCTGGAGGAGCTCTACAGAAGCATTAGTAAAAGGGACCCTTACCTTGTGCTCCATCTTAGACAGCAGACTTTGTAAAGTGAGTCAGTCCGAGTCTCTGGAAGAGAGAATCCAGCGTTCTCATTGGAAATGGATGAAGAGAAATGCATCCTTGATTCCAGTGTCCAAAATAGAGGAGGGCTGAGTAACATTTGCCCATCACACAGGCTTTTGGGACAGATACATAACCTAGAAGATACTCATTGGCTGTATCCCAATGCCTTTTCCTCAAGAATATCTGAAGAGAAAGACTATACCTTCTGGCCAGACACAGTGGCTCATGCCTGTAATCCCAGCACTGTGGGAGGCCAAGGCATATGGATCACCTGAGGTCAGGAGTTCGAGACCAGCGTGGCCAATGTGGTGAAACCCCATCTTTACTAGAAATAAAAAAATTGGCCAAACATGGTGATGAATGCCTGTAATCTCAGCTACTTGGGAGGCTGAGGCAGGAGAATGGCTTGAACCAGGGAGTTGGAGGTTTCAGTGAGCCGAGATTGCGCCACTGCACTCCAGCCTGGCAACACAGTAAGACTCTGTCTCAAAAAAAAATTTTTTTTCAAAATCATGCCTAGAGAAGGGTCATGATGGCTGAGTGGACACAGCCAGGAAGCACCACTCCCACCAAGAGAAACCAAAATATTAGGTAAACCAACATACCTAGAGAAGGTCTTCAGAGAGAAAACACCAAGAGTTGGTACAGAGGAGATGCAGACATCAGGGCTGAAGTGAGGAACCTGGGAGTGTGGTGTGGGGGAGCTGAACGCTAGAGCTGGTTCCCAGCACTGAAAGGCTCCTAGGGAAAGGGTGAGTGAAGGGGCAGAGGGACCACAGGCTCTCGCCACAGACTGTGGCCGTCCTAGCTACAGGAGACCACACGCCTTCCATCGGCATTTCGTCAGAGGCATTTGAGCCAGAGCAACTCCATCCTGAGGTGGATCACTTCACTTCAGGAGTTCAAGACCAGCCTGGCCAACATGGTGAAACCCCATCACGACGAGAAAACAGAATTAGCCAGGTGTGGTGGCACGCACCTGTAATCCCAACTACCCCATCTTGAGTAGGAGCTAGACAAAATGAGGCTGAGACCCACTGGGCTGCATTCCCAGACGGTGAAGGCATTTCAAGTCACAGGATGAGGTAGGAGGTCAGCACAAAGTAGATGTCATAAAGACCTTGCTGATAAAACAGGTTGCAGTAAAGGAGCTGGCCAAAACCCACCAAAACCAAGATGGCGACAAGAGTGACCTCTGGTCATCCTCACTGCTACACTCCCACCAGGGCCACGACAGTTCATGGATACCATGGCAATGTCAGGAAGTTACCCTGTGTGGTCTACAAAGGGGAGACATGAGTAATCCACCCCTTGTTTACCATATCATCAAGAAATAACCATAAAAATGGTTATTTTTTTGTTATAATGGTTATTTTTATTGGTTTATAAATTTAATTTATAATTAAATTTTATAATGGTTATAATTTTTTTGGCAAGCAAGGCCGGGTGCAGTGGCTCACACCTGTAATCCCAGCACTTTGGGAGGCCGAAGCAGACAGATCACCCGAGGTCAGGAGTTCAAGACCAGCCTGACCAACATGGAGAAACCCATCTCTACTAAAAATACAAAAATTAGCCAGGCATGGTGGCACACGTCTGTAATACCAACTACTCGGGAGACAGATGCAGGAGAATCCCTTGAACCTGGAGGGCGGAGGTTGCAGTGAGCTGAGATGGAGCCATTGTCTCTCCTGCCTGGGCGAGAAGAGTGAGACTCTGTCTCAAAAAAAA